ATCTGATGACTGCTTCTTTCCTCACCCCTTTCCACTCATCATTCACTACTATCCTGTCATCCGACGCCATATCGTCTGAACTACTGACAGCGTCGTTGAACAAACCATACATATATAAATAAAATCAATCATAAAACTAAAACAAAAACAAAAAACTCCGTGGCCTGTAGTCCGCAAGCGAACTATACCGACCGATAAACCGCCTCTTGTCGGCGAGGTTTTATTTTTTAATTCGCATAGTGGGGTGTGGAGTCCAACTGAGTTCAGTCAGCATGACGGCCACTGATTGGCCTATTGTAGCCTGCCCCAGATGATTATGATGATGGAGAATTTGGTGGAATGAAGATTGGCAGGGGAAACCGAAGTACTCGGAGAAAACCTACACCAGCGCCACTTTGTCCACCACAAATCCTACTTGACCAGACCCGGGTTTGAACCTGGGCCGCTGCGGTGGGAAGCCAGCGACTAACCGCTTGAGCTATGGCTCGTCCTCGTCGGGGAAGTTAGTGCCAACTTTAGCGGATAGAGGGTGTCGCGTGGTCAGCGCAACGGATCCCCCCAGCCGTCAATCTCGGTTTTCTAGACCGGAGCCGCTATTTCCTTGAAATAGCGTCTCAGTTATCCTCACGAGGCTGAGAGGACCCCGTTCCAGACCCACTACTTGTCACAAAATCTGGTAGCGCCGGGGATCGAACCCGGACTTCTGGATCTGTAGCCAGGAACTCTCACCACTAGACCACAGAGGCGGTCCAATCATAGACCTAATGAAACAATTTATAGTTTAGTTCCCCTCTTATATGTTATGTCAGAAGCCGGGATAGCGTAGTCGGTATAGCGACTGGCTACTGGCTGGACGACCGAGGGGTCGGAATTCGAGTCCCAGTAGTGTCAAGAATTTTTTCTTCTCCACGTCATCCAGACCGGCTCTGGGGTCCTTAGAGCCTATCAAATGGGTACCGGAGGCTCTTTTCCCAGGGGTAAAGCGGCCGGGGCGTGAAACTGACGACTCACCTCCAGCTAGTGCCAAGATCAAGGAAATGTGGATCTATACATCCACTCCCCCATACGCCTTCATGTCGTAGTGCTTAGTTACTTAAGCATAAGGGCACTTTTTCTTATATGTTATGTTGGTAATGCAAGGAGTTGGGATGCGTGTCACTAAAAATTCTTTGAGCAACATCTGAGCCGCAGCAGAATAATTACTATTGCAAAATGGAATCTCGTGTCCGATACGGTTTCTCACCAATCGATTTACACACACACGTCATGGTCACAGGTTCTTTTGCTCACGCAGGGCGCACTGTTTTGACATTCTGCGAGGAATCGGAAGGCGTGTGAGTCAGTACGAGACATGGTGCCGGTTTGACGGCCAGGAATCGATTCCAGGCACGTACAACGATATTTCTCTTCGCCAGTACGTGCAACACGGGTCTGGATCTCAAGCCACAGGGCACGAAAAACTGGTCATAGCATATCTATGATTTTGTTCCTCGGGGTATTATGAAAAATCAGGTAACGAAAAGAACACATGTTCTTTACATTGACCCTTGCTTTAAGGGACTGAAAAACATTACAAAATCCTCAATTAAGATCGACTATTCCCTGTCGGGATTCAAGTCTGTTACCCCATGCAGGTGAGCCATACACATATTTTCAAGGGTGTATCCTCGCCACCGCTGTCTCCAGGCACTGGGTGTCACCCAGTCTCCTACCGGATATCGGAGGCTGTTTGGCTGAATTTGAAGCGGCTGGAGCATAAAGTTAATCACTCACTTCCATCTAGTTATTAAATTCAGGCCCTGATACATGCCCGCTACACATCTTCACGGTTTAGTCATTCTCATTCACTCATGCAGCTGAGCCCTTCTTGAGAAGCCTCCAATTGTGCAGCTACTCAAGAACTTAGTAACATTTTATGGAACCAGAAGGTTCATTACCGTGTTAACAGGAGCCCTCCATTGGTCCCTATCCTCAGTCAGAACAATCCAGTCCATACCATCCCATCTTATCTCTCTAAGATCCATTTTAATATTGTCCACCCACCTACGCCTTGGTCTTCCCAGTGGTCTGTTTCCTTCTGGTTTTCCCACCAATATCCTATATGCATTCCTCTTCTCCATGATCCGTGCTACATGCCTTGCCCATTCCATCCTCATTGACTTGATTCTGATTATACTTGGAGAAGAGTACAAGTTACGAAGCTCCTCATTATGGGGAGAACTTTATACGAATATATATTTTTTATTCATTCACCCAGATTCGGCGGACAATTTAAAACAGCTGAATGCTTAGCCCAGAAACGAATTCTATTAAGTTAGTTCCTACACCAAAACCACGACAAATGGCGGATGGTACAAACGTTATATATATATATATATATGCTTATGATCTGTCAACAGAGGAGCAGGAGAGGTGGGAACACGAAACCAAAATGGGCTCATCGACGCGAATATGTAAAGTCTTCTAACTCTGGAACTCGCCGTTAACATCAATTTTCTTGCTCGTCGCTTTTTACTTAATTGCGGAACGAAAGGTTTGTTACAAAAGAGAAGTGAAGCTGAACTTCATGTACACTTGGGATTCGGAGAAAATGACACTGCATGTCTGTACTCACTGCAAAGTGAACATGCGTCCAGAAATAGAACCATCTGACTTAAAAGGTAAGGTCCCTGTAACTGACCGTGAGGACCCATAGGGTTGTGAGACGTCGAGGCTCCCACATTTTCTCTAGACAATCGGTTCACAAATGGCGGTAAGGTTGTCAGCCTTACGCGCCGGCGGCCCTTTACCCCTAGGAATATTCCTGGTACTCATTTATCTTAAGAGGCTGGGTTGATCCCATGGTCATAGTGTGGCTGGAAGGATTAGGTCAGTTGTTAAAATCCACCTCATCGGGAATCGATCCAGCGACCTTCCGGCTTGTATCGTAGTGCCTCAACCAACTACGCTACCGCGAACAGCATTTTAATATTTCAGAACCAAACAATGTACATGGTGCGGAATCCTTCTTGAGAAGCTTATAGTGACTCAACTGTTTAAGAAATTAGGAAACTCTGGAAGTCAATTACCGTCAGCTTTTGTTAGAATCCACACCTCTTACTTCTGCTCAGGGAGGCGAGTGTAGAGCAGACTCTCACATTCTATTTGTCATAGGCAATAACGCTACTGATCACAGCGGCCGCCCAGTCTGGTCCGTGTACTGTCTTCTACCGACGGGACTCAGATCCTAAGTTCGAATTCCACTCGGCGCACTGATGGATGTCTGCATTTCTGTCGTCCTACTTAGATTCGGGCCGATCCCCCATCCAAGGAGTCCTATCAAATGTCTATAAATAAGAACCTACAACCGTCAAAACGTGTGGCCTTGAACTGGGTTGGTTTGTAGTGCCGCAGAAGAAGAAGAAAATGCGAAGTTATCTCTAAGTTTATGAAAAAAACACGCCACAAAAATAAATGGAGGGGGAGAAATAGTATAGCTCCATGCATTCTTAACCTCGGAGGAGACAGGTAAGCTTTACACCCCGGCACAAATCTCCAGATACTGCATCACACAGGAGAGCCGGTGGATCCCAGAGCCAGTCTGGATGCAGTGGAGAACAGAAAAACTTATTTATTAATGATTCATTTTAATACCGTTCCCATCTATGCCTACATCTTTCAAGTTTCTCTTCACATATTTTAAAAATTGCTTCTTCCAATATGATTTTATACCATATGCATTTTAAACGCTGAATCCGAAAATACATAACGAACAAATATCATTAACGAAATTTTAATAACAAATGCCTATCATTCCCGTTGGTATTACTGCTTATTACGAGTATGGGATCCGAAAATTTAAACAATGCATGGGTTTATGTATAAACATATTACCAAAAACAATTAGGACTAGTATTACGCTTTATTTAATTGTTATATAGTGGAAATCCAGAAGCACAAACAAATATGAAACGGTCTGAACTTACTTTGCAGCATTTACTCCACGTCAGTAAGGAAGTTAACAATTCTCTCTTTGGAAACAATTGGGTTGGATGACTGAAAAACAATGGTTCGATTCCCGGCAGAAGCAAGATATTTTTCTCTTCTCCGCAGCCGCCTACCAAATGAATATGACAGAGCAAAGCGGAGGCGCAAAGATGGCCACCCACCTCCTGATGCTGAAACTACGAATGCGTGGAGCTATACCACCATTCCTCCCTCCGGTTTTGTGGCGTGGAGCTTAATTCAGCACAGGGACGAGTTTACATTTCTCACCCTTCCCTCTTTAAAAACAACACACTTAAGGCTAAATCCATGGAGCAATATCCTCCTTGAGAAGCTGATTTTACAATTTTGATGGAACCCGAATATTCTTTACCGTATTCACAAGTGTCTGTCATTGGATCCACCCCGATCTAGTAGCATCCAGTCAATACCCTCATACCCAGTTTAAATTTCCTTTTAGCAGCATCCGTCTCTCTACGCCAAGGTCTCCCAAGTGGTCCTTTTCTTTCTGTTTTTCCAGTAAAATTTTGTATGTGTTTTCCATACCCATGCGTGCTACATACCAAATACAGTAGAGACCAAACAGTAATATTTTTCAAAGCCCAAACAAACATCGATGCCATGATAAACGGGTTAGTCACAAGGACAATTATAATCGAAATCCTGAATCCTAAGTCGACGTCCTCAAAATGTTTCCACGATATCAGAAACTGCCTACGAAACATTTTAAACTTCGAAGCTACGAAATAAACTGACCGAGAGAGACAGCTAAATTAGTACCGCTTTGGAAGGTGTCTAGTTCGAATCTCAGCCGTAACACAGACAATCCATAAGTACTTGGTGGTTTAGTCACTCTGTCCAAGAGAACTCGGGTTAGCACTTCGAAATAGATCACGGGGTGTCCGCCCTTATAATCCTATAAAGTTCACTCAACGCCAACATCACACTATTAACATCTGTGGCCGACACGATGTCTTTAAATGAATAAAGTTAGGAGACAGGAATAAGGTACTCACCTCCACAAGCGTCCTTGAAATCAGGACAGCAGTCTCCCAGCTTCAGGCACGCGTGGTCGCAATAGCAAGGTTTATCACTCAGATCCTCAATGATAGCATTGATGGGAGCCTTTTGGACCACGCACGAAGAATCACGACCCGGACAACACAATTTCGATTCTCGGCAGCTGCCACACGACACGTGGTTTACCTGAGTCGCTAACAGAAACAAAGTAAGGGCACCGAAAACGAACAAGGGGTGCAGTGACATTGTTGGCGTAAGAGTAGGACAAACGTTCAGGTGGAATGTCTGTCTAGCAAGCAAGCAGCAGCGTACCGCGTGCTCCTCGTTCGACTCGCGCGGTCTCTCTACCAGTTCATACCTCGCAGACACTAAAAGAAAAGAAGGGAGGATATGCGCGCGCACAGTTACAACACTGGGCAAGATTTTCGGTTAATGTCCATCACGGTCATATAGCAGGCCTTTACCATCCTATTCAGACATCCACTGTGCTCATTTTGCGAACTATACTTCAGTACAGTAAACTGTAGCCTGGACTGGAATTGTAGCCGGAAATTCATTCATGGAGCTGAGCCCTTCTTGAGGAGCCGCCAATTCTGCAGCTGCGCAAGAACTTCCAACATTTTATGGAACCCGAAGATTCATTATCGTGTTCACAAGTGCCCTCCACTGTTCCCTATCCTGAGCCAAATCAATCCAATCCATACCACCCCATCCCTCTAAGAACCATTTTAATATTGTCCACCCACCTATGTCTTGGTCTTCCCAGTGGTCTCCTTCCTTCCGGCTTTCCCACCAATATCCTGTATGCATTCCTCCTCTCCACCATTCGTGCTACATACCCTGCAAATCTCATCTTCCTTGACTTGATCGTTCTTATTGTACTTGGAGAAGAGTACAGAAGTAACACAGAAATTTTAAAATGTAGTCGGTCTTTAAAACAGTCTGCATGAAGATTTTAGTGTAGAAAGACTAGCTTTGTCAGAACTGTCGAACACAATCCACCGACCCCGATGAACAGGTTTGTGTGTGTGTGTGTGTGGTGGGGGGAGTTGATGGCCATCCCAGGAGCCCTACCGATTGTCTTAATAAAGTCAAGAAATCTCTTTATTTCACTTCCAGATGGGCCTAAAAGGTGAATATAAAAATAATCGTTACAAAATACAAGCACATAAAAAGAATACACTTGTCCCACTGCTTTAATTACCACTTCTGGGGAAGAGCGGTGATGTAGTTTCACGGATTCTTTGCTTTGGTTTATAAAGTTAACAATAAGAGGAGAGCCTATAATTTATACATTTTAGCCTACTTTCCTTATTTTGGAAAAATTAAAGTAGTCTTATGAAATCACTTTGCTGTCTGTGCATCTGTCTGTATTCACCCCCCCCCCCAAAACCTTTGTATTCCCTTANATTCCCCCCCCCCCCCCCCGAAACTTTTGCATTCCTGAACCAATAAGTATGAAACTTGTTAAGTATACCATGCTACCTGATGCCATCTCTACAGAGTAATTCATAAACCACTCCCATCAGTAATACCAACACTGAAGCCTCTCAACTTTGATTGTTTAATTGACTTCATTAGGCGTACATACTACTGCGTGCCTCCACAACAATGCATAGTGATACTGTTATTCTATCCGGTTCTTTCCATTTCATTTCCATAACTTTTCAACTTATTAGGGGTATATGTTTATGAAGAAATTTATTTTTTACAGGGAAAGAACATTGTAAGGTAAAGAAGGTAAAGTTAATGTGCTTAACTAATTAAGCATTACGCCATGAAGGTGTATGGGGGAGTGGATATATAGACCCACATTTTCTTAACCTCTGTGCTAGTTGGAGGTGAGCAGTCAGCTACATGCCTCTGCCGCTTTACTTCAGGGAAAGAGCCGCTGGCACCCATTCAATAGGAGGCTGGGTAAAAGAATATTGTATGTATGCATGCATTGTTTTGCCAACAGATTTTTCACTCTGAATTTAATACTAATGCTTACTTTCTATTCCTGGATGATGATAAGCGTGGAGCAGTTGGTAGAATCGGAATTGGCAGTAGAAACCAACGTACTCAGGTAAAACCTGCCCACAGTGACACTTTGTCCACCACACACCCCACATGACTTGCCATGAGATCAAACTTTGGCCGCAGCTGTGACGAATTGGCGACTAGTCGCCTGAGCTTTGCTAATTACTGCATTAATTTCCTGGGGATAAGTTACTAATCAAATATCCTACAGCATATCAAATATCGATTAGCATCGTTATATTAGTCCAGGCAGTACACCGGGATAAAACCAATTTTGCACAAATATTCCCTTGGGATATTTGAGGAACGTTTCGTATATGCCTGCTATCTGTTGTCCAGGCATACGCAATGTGTTAAATTGGACATCACATACAAAGTAGAGGCTGGACAAAGCCTTTGATGGTACCAAAATATTTGTAGCTGTTATGTTAATATATCTGTTTACATTGTAAATAAGTGAACTTAATTGAAATAATGCAGTACTTTATGATAATTTGTATTCGAGACATTTTTTATCTCGGAATAGTACTACAGCCTATTTTTCCAAGATACTATATGGAGGATAAGATCCAGTGAAGAGATAAGCACATAACTGAAAGGAGAAGATATAGTAAGATCTATCAAGTCACATAGAGTAAGATGGTTGGGATATGTTGAAAGAGTGGAAGATAATGAAATGCCAAGGAGAATGTTAAAAGGAAGGCTATATTCCAAAAGAATAAAAGAAAGACCCAGGATGAGATGGCTAGATGATGCTGAGAATGACCTGAAGAAAATGAAGGTGAAAGGATGGATAGAGAAAATGAGGAATAGAGAACAGTGGAGAGTGGTTGTAGAGGAGGCAAAGGCTCACCCAGAGCTGTAGTGCCTAGTGGTAGGTACTTCCAAAATTTATGGAGATGTTTCAGTAAGAAATGGGATTTTGGGGCAATTACATTGTATATAAATATACATGATTGGTGTGTTATCATATCCAATAAGCTCTTATTACAATTTGATTCGTAAGTTGGGTTTAAAAGCGTTGCCATGTTCTGTCTACACAACTCTAAAAATGTATACCCATAATGTTGTATTTTAGCGTCCTGTTGCACTGATTTTCATCCATGATAGTGTGTGTAAATTTATTATAGTTGACAAATACGCAGTTTTTAAATAATTTTATAAAGGCAAGCAATGAAATAGATTAGCGTAATTAGGGCACCTGATGATGGCACTATGTTGCCAAAACATGTCGTGAAGTACCAGGTGAAATTGAGTGCACTACAAGACGGCAACTGTATACATATCATGTATACCCATTTTACTGTTTATTAAAAATCATTACATGTTTTGACCATCCAACTGGTCATCATCAGGTGATACAATACCTGTAAGTGTTACTGAATTGCAACCATTTTAACTAACATATGGGCCCATATTTACAATCGTCTGTCTACTATCTGTGCTGGATTTGACATAAATAAAAAAGTTTATAAAATTATAAAGTTGCTACATTATAATGTAAATTTGGTAAAAACTGATCCCCTAACACTAAAGTAAAATTAGGTAAAATGTAGTCTGAGTCAAAATCGCTTTAAGGGTGTAGACCCTTCTTCCCCGTGTTAGCTCAGTGTTGATTAGCATTCATGATGCATGACGCTTTAGAATAGAAACACGGGTGACTTAGCCTACTAGGCTACGGTCCTTCACTTGTGTACTCTTGGTCTGTATAGCTGAAACATTTGCATTGCTTTAGCAGACCTATTTTCTATTATACATGCCAGACTCCATCTCTGAGAAATTCTTTCCTAAGCCAAACTTATTTTGTCCCACCTACTATAGTCTGGGTAACATCTGTCATATACACCAGGCTCCTGCTCAATTAACTGCACAAAAACAAAACTGGCAGATTCATCAACCTTTTGTGCCATCTAAAGAAGCACATTAGAAACGCTGAAACTAGGAAACTATGCTGCAACACGTCCTAGATTATGGAATTAACCTTATATCTGTTTGAATACATAACTGACTTGTATTCAATTGGCAGTGATGATGTACTGATATGAGGGGGGGGGGTCTACCAGGCTTGTAACTATTGATATTGGTGACAGCCATTTCACTCAGCAGTTCTCAAGCACACCAGCCATAGCTTTTAAATCATAATTTATTAATAGCCTGACTGGGACAGCACACTTGGTATACAGACTGGACTACAAATCAGTCTGAGTCTGAGTCTTGGTAGGGTCAGGAATTTTTTTTTCTTTTCCAAGTTGTCAAGGCCAGCTGCGAAGCCTACCCAGCCTCCTATCCAGTTGGGCACCAGGGGTAAAGAAAACATGAGTCTATACATCCACACCCCGTCTTCATGTAGTGCTTAATTAGCTAAGCATATGGACAACTTTACCTTGCTACTGACATTAAAACTAACAGAATATTTAGTGTCAAAAAACTGAATTTTCCAAGTAGGGAACAATTTTTGGATTTAAACGACACAAATTAAACTCTTCTAAGAAAAAAGGCCACACAATTTCCATGAAGAGTAAAGAACCATATACGTGTGTGTCACCTATTTTAAGGTTATGAGCTTTTTTAATGTACATTTTACTTAGAACCTTAAGGTTAATTATTTTTTAAGCCTCCTCTTCTTTCTAGAATTTTCTACTTAAGAAATTATTATACAATTACTTCCTATACGATTGACGTTCTTTTAGCAATTGTAATAATATATACTGAGAAATGTACTGCATCAGACATCATGGCTCATACTTAAATTTGGAAAATTACTTTTTTTTCAGTTTCTTTCTATATAAGGTTTCTTCACTGTGTGTAACAGAGGTTTCTGGTAAAATAACAATTACAANTTCTTAAGATAATGGCTTAAAAACTGAACCTAAGACAAATACATGAATAACTATGTTAAACAAATAGGTACAATATGTGAATAATAAACAGTTATAGTTGTGATTTTCTTATTGCACTGATGTGAAGAATGCACTGTTAGTAGAAAAAGTAAAAAATAACTGTTGTGTGTTAATGGCCTTATATTGATACAACAAAATACTGAGTATAGTACAGGACAGAAGTATACTAAGTTAAGTTCATGCTGCTTATCAATGACTTTCTGAAAGAAGTTATGAACACAATGTACAAAGTTTCAAAAGTGTATTTACTGTACAGTATGTATTTACAGAAAAATTTCTCCATGAAATATAAAATCTGGAAAAAAGAAAACATTCACCATTGTCAGAAATAAATTTCACTTTCATACCAATCCAGTCTTTGGAATACACAGTATTCCAAATTAATGCCACACAACTTTTAAACAATTAGGAATGGCAGTGAAAGAAATGTGACAATGTTACATTTCCCTAAACTTAACATAATAAAGCTTACTTAGTGTATAAATATGTAACAACAGAAATCATACATTATTTAATATTTAAAAACTCTAGTACATATTACATTAGTGCATATATTAAAAGCCTGTTTCATTATGTTCTCAACAGTGAGTCATATTACTTCCTTCAATTTTGAACACCCTATATAAAAATAACATTTACAATAATAGGATGCCTTTACAACACAAAAATTACTTTAAGCAATTATGATCAGTCCAACTTGTCCAAAAGCTTTCATATAAATGCCCTTTCCTCTCTAATGTGTCAAAGCCCATTTTTCATACTTCAAATCTTTCACTTTGACAACTGGATACATATTAGTAAACCGTTCCATAGTTGCCAAACTCATGTTCATGTTCACACCAAGATTGTTTCGTAATTTTACAGATGCCGTGATGCGGTTTTTATCGACAGGAGCTGGGCGACACCCATAATATGAAAACTCAGGACAGACAGCAGGTGACTCAGATCGACTACTAGGAGCAGTTGTTACCTCCCCTTGTTCTGTGTCATAACATGAATCTAAAATGACCTTCTTGGCAGTCTGTGACAGCAGAGGATTGGTTGACTTACGAGCCACAGCATGGAATTTTCCAATACGAGGAGACAATGTTGTTGATTTACGGGCAACACAGAGCCTCTTGGGAGGGGGTGGAACAACACAGGCTTCAGAGTCACACTGCACTCCGCCCTCCCCACCTATACGAATGCCCATATCAGACCGCAACTTTTCTAATTCCTCTTCTGCATTGCTTACGTGGATCACCTTACATTCTTCTTCTGGATGTTCCAAAAGTGCATCACTGCTGACCTTATTGGGAAACTCGGATGTTCTAGGGCAATGGTCAGGCGTGTAAGGTTTCACATGATTCTGTATATGTTTGGACATGCTTTGGCTACTATCACAGACAAATTTGCAACTTGGACAACTGTAATTCTTATTGATATTACCAGCAGTCACAGTGGGAGTGCTGCTCTTCTCTACACTGTACTTGAGCTGCAGATGTGAATGGCACATGGCATGATGAACCTGGATTGTATCTTCAGAATCACATGTCTCTTCACACCACAAGCACATGTATTTAGCTGTGGCTACAGCTGCAGGAGCTGGTAAGCCTGAACTAGCTGCATGCTTGCTCACAACTAACGAATCCTTGCTTTTCATATCTGATATGTAATTTGCCTTTGATGGCCTAACAAGATACTGTAGTGCCTTTCCTACATGCTCCATTTCAAAATGTTTTTTCAATGTGTTTACTGTGAATGCTGTAAAGTGACATTCTGCACATTCGTAACTTGTAAAACTTGCCTGACTCACTCGGAATGGTTTGTCTGGATGTTCAGACTTCTGGTGTGCCTCCAACCCGGCTAATGTACCACGAAATTTGCAGTATGAACACTGAAATGCTGGCCTCCTACCTGCAGACCCATTCTGACCCTTCAGAAACTGCTTCATGTTGACCTCTTTATACTTGAATGGTAAACCAAGCCTCATCACTCCATTTGAACCCATAAGTTTATTCTTGTGCTTCTCCTGCCAATGCTGATGGATACTCACGACTGAAGTTCCACGCTGAGGGCAGTAAAAACAGCAGAAGATATTTGGAAATGCAGTGGTGTTCTGCTGTTCATCTTCAACCTTATCTTCTGTGGACACAGTATCAACAACCTCTGAATCACCACTTTTCATTACTTTCTCATGACCTATTTCACGAACAGGTGTATTGCTAGTAGTCCCAAATCTGTCAGGTTTAGAACGCTTATTGCGTTGCAATGGACGGATATCTGGCTGACTTGGCATGGGTTTTTCTATAACACGCAACTTTTTTAATGGGTGAATCTTTGCTGAGTGCTTCTTTATTTCATATTCTCTGACTCCTTCAAAATCACAGTAACCACATTTGTAAGGTTTCTGCACCCAGTGGCGCATCATATGGTATTTTAAGTCACTTGCACTACGACAAAAGTATTCACAATACAAGCACTTATTAAGGTTTTGGTTTGCCAGTGACGGAAATAATGGCAAACTTTCTTCTGATTCAGCAGGTGAACTGGAAGTTCTCTGTCGCTTCTTTAGAGGACCTGTTCCTGGGGAAGAGCTGGTTGAAGAAGATGGAGTTGAGACTGGTGTGTTGAGACATTTATATTCAGAACCCTGCCCCAAGCCATACTCTCGTTCCCAGAATTCATCATCCAACTTGACGCAAGAACCTTTTGTATGTGGCAAAGATTTTGGAGGCAGGTCAGGATGATCAACCTTGCTGTGGTTAAGCACACTTTCCTCCGAGTTTGCAACATATCCACAATGTCCACATGTCCGACTGCAACAAATTATAACAATCAGTGTGCAAACTGTCACAATATTACTGTTATAAGCAGTCTCTTTGTGAAAGAAATTAACACACTATCATTATAAAATAAGAGTAAAAGAAGAAACATCATCATCAGCATAAATGATTGGACAGAGAATGTAGCACACATGGGAAATATGTTGTTCAAAAGTTGGGGTGGGGGGGACACATATGGCTACAGATAGCAAGGTGGTCTCACAAGAATACTTTTTTATTTTATTTTTTTCAAAATAAGGAAAATTGGCTAAAAATGCATATAAAGGAAACATAGTCTGAGATTATGGACTACATTCAATTTGCTTGTGACAGGGACAACTAGCTAGCTCTTGTGAACAGGGTAATGAATCTTCATACAAGGCACAGGAAGTTTTTGACCATCAGAGAAATTACTGTTAGCTCAAGCAGGATTCTGCTTCAGGGTGTGAGTGAATGTGGGTTAGCTAGCAATGAGCAATCCTACATGTTGGTTTCATAACAGAAAGACGGGATAAAAAAAAAGCTATATTTCCTATGAGGGCTATAATCGAGTGTTTATGTATAGTACTCACATTGACATCTTGAGGTGATTATGACGAATGTGCACCTTCAAACCACGGATAAGATAAAATTTCATGTTGCAATGCTTGCATGGGTACTTGAGCAACTTGTCAGTATCTTGAGATGCTACAAAAAATATAAAACAAACTATTTACACATGTATAAACAGGAATACACATATTTTCAGATATACATTCTTTATGATCCCACATATTTCACTATGGCCTTGAAGTGCAAATTTTACTTTCTTGTCTAGACAACATCTCTAGGAAATCAATGTAATGAGTTAACCAATATGTATGTAAAATCCAAGACTATAAACAAATAAGCAATAGAATACAATTGCTTGGCTGGTGACCTAGCAGTTTAGCATACAAAATTTTGTCTTAACATTAATGTACTGTTAATATTACTCCATCGTATCATATAATTTTCTTTGTCCCTGAACATTTCCACTTTATATGTGACATCTATCATGCCAGATATAAAACGATTTCTGCATATCAACACAGCAGCCATTTCTCCACCACTGCTGAATGAAACTCTAGTGAACTACTCAGTGACTAACATCCTTAATAAATTAAATCAGTGATTAAACTCAATTCAAGTTCCAACTGCACAGCTAATCACAATGCACAGACTCAAATATTATTTTGCCTTATACTTTGTTAAATATTCATCATATAAAAAACATTTCAAATTCAAACTGTAGCTTTAAGTAACTCTTAGATTTTCTGTTAGGAACACATGTTTTAAAGTAAGCCATTTCAGAAAATCAAGATCGACACAAGTTCTGTGTAAAGAAAACAGTATATGTATGTCCACATTATGCACTCAGTACAAAAAATGCATAGAAAGTGGGGAAAATGTCATTTTCAAAACTAAAGGCAATGACACAAAATCTCTATTTCCATTGTCAGTGATGATGAGGGCGATGAGGTGCTTACTGGTAGCTGCTTTCACCCATTTCATCATCTTGCAACATAGTTCTTAATATAGTCTGCGTGAATGTTAGGAACTACACTTTGATATGGGAATCACACACACACACACGCACGCTCTCTCTCTCTCACTCACTCTCACACACACACACACACACACACAAAAGAAAGGGGGGGAAAAACCCCCACCGACGACGACAACAGAGTGAAAATGGGACACTGAAGTACATGAAAGAACAGTTTCTATGTCCACCTCACTGTTATATATATGAAGGGACATAGGAGTTAAGGACTCATCACCATTATGCATGTTTGTATTGTGCTGCAGACTATATTCAGGTTGCAAACTTATCTTCTTCTACATCACTGGTGACTTGTACCATTTAAACCTTATACAATTCATCACTGGGGGCATGTGGTAGCGTAGTTGGTTGAGGCACTATGCTACATGCCAGAAGGTTGCAGGTTTAAGTCCTGATGAGGTCACTGGATTTTTTCAATTGACCTAATCCTTCCAGCCGCACTATGGCCCTGGGGTCAACTCAGTCTCTAACAGAAATGAGTACCAGGAATTAATTATATAATTTTCGTGGGGAGTAAAGCGCAGCCGGTGTGTAAGTTTGACAACCCTACTGCCATCTTTGAGCTGACTGCCTAGACAATGTGGGACTCTCAACGTCTCACAACCCTATGGACCTTCACGGCCTGATACAGGGATAGCTTTACTTTTTACAATTCATCATTATTTTCCTGGCACATGCCACTTTTACTAAAATGTAATAAGCTCAATATACAGCGTACAAATTTCCACTGCTGACTGGCATATCTACATCGGAGTAGTTAGAAACATGCATGACATTTAGACTTCATGGCCACTACAATATACAGCACAACATGACATCTATAAACATCATAACCACTTGACTGGTTAAAGGAAATCACAGTGGCCTCTTGTATGTAGCATGAATGCAACCTTCATGACAGAGTCAAACTTCTATGAGCTGAGTTACGTAACCCAATGAATCCTACAATCAGAATTACCCGGAGGTATTGATCCATCAATTTACCCATCCACACCTCACCTACTACCTTCCATATTGATTTTCAGGTGGACTTGGCCAGTTATACAATGCAGCCAAAACAACAAATTCATCAGAAATCACAAGAAGAGTGCTTAAAGAACTACCCATCTGCACTAATAAATGTGTTGCTATAAATTAGTTTTAGGTACAACAGAAAATTTTTCTCAGAAATCGAAAGTGTACATATGAAAATGAAGTAACAGATCTAATTATCATAGGATTCTGGCAGCTGTTCTTCAGATTGTATTATGATGAAACAAACCTTTCTCTGTATATACAGAACCCTCCAATGGGATGGTTGAACTGACATTCTTACTGGACACCTTCATATTGTCTGTCACATCTCTTACTCCAGGCACCTTTCTTTTTGAAGTGCAAGTGTCACTGTCACTACTTGTGCTGCCAGTACCGATCAGGTCTTCTCTTTCTGCTGAGGAAGCCTTCAAACCTGAACATTTAGGTTGAAGAGGATCTTAGTATTATAACTCAGAACAAAAATCTGCTATACTGTAAACTGGAGACAATTTATATCAAACCTTGCAAATTACATCATAAACATTACACCCATAATAAACAAACAATAACTTTAACTCACTATGGTTGTGCTGCAAACAAAATTATTGCAATGAATCAATCTCCTAATAAATTTTGTCACTGATAACAGCAATACCCCTATTTATGGTTTCTCTGGGGAGAAGTGGATTTGAACACTGAGCTAAAGTATTTTGTAAACTGAGGAAATTTAACAATGAGATTATTGAAACTGAATAAATAAATAATAAAAAAATATTAAATGGGTTTCCACTATATATATTTTTGTTTTGGCTTTGAATATGAGTGCTAGATTTAGCATGATCATTATAAGTAAAATTCCAATGTTTCTTTCCGATTTTGTTCCAAATTCAGTTATGTCATTGCATGTCAAATCAACATAACAACTGACATTATCACCTTGGACATCAATTAAATTTTGTAAGCCTACAGAGTCTCATGACTAACTGAAAAAGACACTTTTCCTTCCTATGTTAATTAATTTCAAAATTATTGTACACATTTCCTTAACCTTTCCCATACTCTGAGTCACTAAAATGCTTACAACTTTTGTCATAATTAAGGTTACGGAGTTCATTCTTGTACAAACTGAAAGCTCTTAAGTGGGGCTTTTATTTGATATGCCAATCTAATACATTTGTACACATTAATGGTCTGACCATTACATTGGACCTCAACTTATTAAAAAAGTACAGCCTGCGTTATGCAAGATTTTTCCAAAACATTGTGGTTCTTTAAGTACATTTTTGGAAACTATCATGTCGGGACACAAATGGGCTGATGTATCTGTTCATAACTATGTATTGCATGTGTACCATTTATTCCAGCCCAAACACAATTTCTCGGCTGTAACACTGCAAATCTGAAGACTGGCAATTTCTCACCATTCTGATCCTAAAATTTAAGTAGCCTTCTTTCAGGTTAAACAATATCAATACTTTCTGAAGATGAACCTTCACGCTTTTTAACAGAAACACAATCTGTTGTCCTCAGCATGATACTGCTGATTTTGTCAGATATATAAAATGGTTTCACCATTTTGGCTGGTGCAAGAAGTAGCACTCTGTTTTACCTTTGAGCTTGACAAAATTCCTTTCTCATTAACTAATTTCTTGGCAGTACAAACCACATAATTTGAGGCTCTGATCTCTTGCTGAATTTTTCAAACAGACCAGATCTATGGAAGACTGTCAAAATCTAAACCCTTTCACACATTTCTCATGTCATGTGAAACCTTCCCTTTAACAGTGCTATCATTTAATCTTCACCTGAAATGTCATTACCACTGGAATCTATGAAACTGAATATTTATCTCATCATGGCTCCATTGATTTTCTTGAATTTTTGCTTTAACTCACTTGAGACAACTTTTTAGCGGAAAGCTGTGACTTTTCTAATGGCCCCCAAAGGCTTGTCTACACAACTTTAAAACTGTTCATGTCTTGTCAAATTCTGAGCTTAAAGAAGTGCTTAAGTCCAACAATGTTTTGGGAAATTTGTTGTACCTTTAATATATTTATCTCTGGCTATCTGTCCCTTCTGAATAGCATGAACCTTTTTTCTTTTTCTTTTCATTCAGTCCAACATATGTATCAGGCTTTTCTTGGAACCTGCACTCCTGACTACCATTCAAGGGATTACAATATTGTTTTAAAACATTAAATTCTTTCATATTCGTAGTAAATGCAGCCATTTCAAACTTGGCAATAAAATAATTTTGCACTTCACCAAATGACTACAGAATTTGCAACATAAGGAAACACAACTTAAATACACTGGCATCGAGCATTAAATGAAATGAAAGGCTGGATAAGTCATAATGCCCTGCAACATGTCTGTAGAGGTCACAACATGTCTTATCATGGTGTCGCCTGCAGGCGACTGACAGACAGAAAAACATCTCTCATCATCACTTTCATGCTCCAAAGATGTACTGAAATAATAGCTAAGTGTTTTGGGAAAAACTTGCATACATGTGAAAATACAAGAGTTAATAAACTAAGGTCAAATGTAAAGGTCAACAAATGAATGTGCCTCACCATAATTTGAGTGCATGCCAAACAAAAGCCCCACATTAACCCTTTCTGGCCGAATTGTTGTTGGGGCTGGCGTTTGGTGGTTTATTTGTTCCGCTGCTTTGGTCTTTGGTTTTAGAGGAGGCCCTCTGTTAGTTTTATTCTTGCTATTTTATTCAGTGGTGTCTTGCTTTATATGTAAGTTCTTGCGGGTTTATTAAGGTCTCTTAATGGTGGGCTTATAAAGTGGTTTTTGGTAGTTGTTAATTCGCATTATTTGGTTTTATAAATCTTGGTAACAGTGTTTCCACGGTCATATTTCAATCATATGTCACTAGTTGGTACTGTATACTATACCAGTGCATGCATGACTGTTTTGTCTGCCTCCTTCTGTCATCAGGAAGACATAATTTGAACATCTTGAGGAATGAATGCAGTTTATATATTACTGCACATCAATGTTATCAATGTGGCTTTATGGGCAGACATCTGCCTTCTTGCATGAAAAAACGGAAATAAATCCCATGTGTGTCGAGGATGAAGGATCTATTAGTGATATGTTAGGTGATTTCAATGTACATGACAATTTGTGTTTATAAATTCAAAACTTGCCTGGTATGCTGTGCTCTGTTTTGTTTGCGCTACCTGACAGCCCACTAGGGCCTGGCTGGGCTAGATTTGCAAGACTAGCATCCAATATTTTATTAGAACTTGAAGTCCCTTCTGAGGTTGCCTGTTGTTCTATTTTCATGAATGCAAGCTGGACATTTATCACTTTCTCAACCTGAAACATAAATGTTCAACAACTTCCAATCCTTAAAGATAGCATTATAAACAGAAAAACTGGAGTATTACTGTAATACAATCAATCTACACCTTGTTCTGGAGTTAGTAAATTATGATTATTTAACAAGGTATTGGCATTTGTGGTGATATCTGATAAAGAAACCGGATGCGAGGATGGCCAAGTAAGTACAATGGACAGGGTACAAAGCAGGTGAAATTGATTTTATCCTACCCTGTAATTTGGTTAAAATGTGTGAGTAGAGGCATGACACATTAGTCTTTGCCAGGATTCAAACCAGGCAAATGCTGAACCTGTCCTCTGACAATGACATGCCACATAACAAAATATGGACTCCCCAACAGCAATAACAATGTAAACCATGATAACAGTATTTCTAAACATAAGTTAAAAGGTGAGCAAAATTTGTTTAAACTGGGAGGCATAATTATTTATTTTCTCACATGCAGACACACAAATAGGACAAATCCAGGTTGTTGTTCTTCACATAAATGAACAGCACAAATTATGATCCAATATCACACATACCCATTCCTCAATGTCTTTGTTTGGTGTGAGAGGAGCAATAGCTTCAGGTTTCCTGTCTTTTTCATGCATCCTGGCAGAGTGTTTCTGAAGAGAACTTCTGTTACAAGACACCTGGCTGCAGTGTGTGCACACCCATCTGCAAAATTAAAGATATGCTAGTTCTCCAAACAAGCACACTAACGATGGGAACATTCTCAAATATATTTGTTACCATAGGTCTTTAGAATTGCATCAGCAGCCTGCTGAACAGGATGGTTCTTAAGCATATTTGAAATTATTTGGTCCCACAGACTCATATTCTAGTACACATGCATAAGAAGTGTACAATACATTCCATTACTTTTGTGCTGCAATGGATTTAGTGCCTGTATTTCTCAATATCACATAATCTTTTCTATCATTGTACAAGCTTTGTAAACGCAGCTTGTTAGAGCTACTTTATGATCAGAAATGCTGTGCATGTTCCTGTACTTGCTCCTCATGTAGTCATTTATGGCCAACCAAGTCCAGTCTATGGAGGCCTCTGAAGCACTTTCCAGATGATATAATTTAGAAGTGAGAGGATTCATGGCTCAACATGGCCAACATTTACTATAGTAAAACCAATGAGTGGCACAGTAATTCTGACCTTCCTAGAACATGTAACTCATTCAAGCATACCGGATGATGACAAAAGTACTCTCCTTCCATCACTGCTAACAGCCATCGATGAAATTAATTCAAGATGCATTATGTGCCAAAAATCATCCTGCCAGCACAGTCAATCAGAGAGAAAGACAGAAATATGTTTGAAGGTTAGAAGCCGAGTGCAACCAACCAGTGAGTTTCATTTAAGTGCCAATGAAGCTGTGGACCATAAGCAGTAATTTCCCAAGACACATTACAGGGGTAGTGATAAAGTCTGGAGTGGTAGAAGACAGTAAATATGAGAAAGAAGATGGGAAATATAAAGATAGTAAAGCTGAAAGAAGACGGGAATGATGACTTGTTAATGGAACTTAATGAAGACTACTTGCTTCAGGGGGGGGGGGGCGGACCTCATGGAAATGAGCCCTTCTTGAGATGCTGTCAATTGTGCAGCTACCCAAAAACTTCCTAATATTTTATGGAACCCAAAGGTTCATTACTGTGTTCACCGGGGCCCTCCACTGGTCCCTATCCTCAGCCAGATCAATCCAGTCCACACCACCCCATCCTATCTTTCTAAGATTTATTTTACGTGGTGTAATCCAAAAGTTCCTGAAATATATTAACAAAAACTATTACATCTTACCTAGATCTTATTCTGCACCATCAACTTCAAAGTAGTCCCTTTGGGAGCGCATACACCAATCCCAGCGGTTCTGCCACTTTTCAAATGCATCCTGGAAGTCTTTCTTTGTTAGGGTGTTTAGTACCATCTGCGTTTCTGCTTGAATTTCCTCAACTGTATCAAATCTTCGCCCCTTCGACTTGATTTTCATCTTGGGGAAGAGAAAGAAGTCGCATGGAGCTAAGTCTGGCGAGTACGGTGGGTGGGGAACAACTGCCATCTTGTTTTTAGCCAAAAATTCCTGCACAATGTAAGCCGTATGCGGTCGTGCGTTGTCGTGGTGGAGTACCCAGTCGTTCGTGCGCCACTTCTCTGGACGTTTTCTCCTCATGTCCTCCCTCAAACACCTTAGAACATCACGATAGAACTCTTTATTGACTGTCTGACCAGGAGGGACGAACTCCTTATGAACAATCCCGTCAATATATATATATATATAAAACAGATCAACATGGACTTAATGCTGCTCTTGACTTGTCGAGCTTTTTTTTTTGGCCGAGGTGAAGAAGGGCTCTTCCATTGTGACAACTGCTGCTTGCTTTCAGGGTCGTAGCCATAAACCCAACTTTCGTCACCAGTGACAACCTTCGAAAGAAAGTTTCGATCCTCTTGAAGCTGTTGCTGAAGTTCCCTGCAGACTTCCAAGCGATGCTGCTTCTGTTCATTTTGCAGTAGTCGTGGCACAAACTTCACCGCAATGTTCAGTTCCTCTGACAAAATTTGTTGACAGGTGTTTTGCCCGTTGATGGCCGTCCTGAACGATCGTCATCATCAGTCAATGTTCGGCCATTTTTAAAACGCTTATACCAGTTGTAAGTTTGTGTCTGGCCTAAACTGTTTTCACCAAAAACTTGTTTCAACACTTGGTGCATTTCTGCAGCTGTTTTCCCAAGTTTGAAACAAAACTTTATACAGACACGCTGCTCTCTCAGGTCAGCCATCGCAAAACCGCAAACTGACAGAAACACAACAATTGAAATATGTTCACCAACAATAAACCCATCCACTCAACTCGACGCCGCTTACCACACTGATTCAAGAAGGATGTGTGATGAGACACCTAGCGGTATTTCGATGTACTCATAACCATTCGCACGCAAAATTCAAATTTCGGCAACTTTTGGATTGCCCCACGTAATATTATCCACCCACCTATGTCATGGGCTTCTTAGTGGTCTCTCTCCTTGTGGCTTTCCCACCAATATCCCATATGCATTCCTCTTCTCTCCCATTCGTTCTACACGTCCTGCCAATCTCATACTCCTTGACTTTAGCCTTCTAACTATACTTGGAGAAGAGTACAAGTTATGAAGCTCCTCATTATGCAGATATCTCCAACTTCCCGTGACTTCATCTCTCTTCTGTCCAAATATTCTCCTCAACACCCTGTTCTCAAACATCCTCAGTCTATGTTACCCCTTTCATGTCAGAGACTAAGTTTCACACCCATACAGAACCACAGGCAAAATTATAGTTTTGTATATTCTAATTTTTATGTTTTGAGACATCAGACAAGAAGACAAAAGGTTCTGGACTGAATGGTAGCAATCATTACCTGAATTCAATCTCCTCCTGAATCAATTTTTGATTTGTTACTGTCATTCACAAATGTCTGAACTGTGCCACATTTCCAAAACATCCATTAGCTATCTTTATGCAATGATTTTTTCCTGCATTCTGGTGACAAGACAGCAATATATATACATGGTGTGTCAGGATCCATTAGGACTCATTTTTTTAAATTTTGCCATGCAATGCCATCTGTTGGTGAGTTGTGGAGTTAAGATTCTTGAAGTTTCAGCTGTGGCTGTCTATAATTTCAAAGTGCAAGCATCGGTGCATCATGTGTTCTGACCTTGAATGTAACAGTACTGTTCTGATACTCATTGGAAAATGGTGGCTGAACAGAGAGCCGACATCAAATTTTGTTTGAAGTTAGGCAAAACAGCTGGAGAAGCGTTTGAAATGATGAGAAGTGTGCACAGTAGTGATTGTTTGAGTTGTTCGAACATTTTTCAATGGTACGCTTCATTTCGTGACAGCAGGGAGGACACTGAAGACACTCCACATGCATCAAAGCTGAGAACAAGTCGCACCAAAGAAAATGTGAAAAAAAAAAAAGTGACCGAAATCCTTGCATTAAGACTCATTGAGGAGCTTTTGGGAATACCAAAAAGTACTGTGCATCAAAATTTGACTGAGGATTTTGGCAAATGGAAGGTCTGTGTGCGGTTTGTACTACACACACTGTCAGGCAATGAAAAACATGCCTGAATGGAACACTGCAAAGACATGTTATGGTCGGCCCAAAGTGATACAAAATTTACAAAATCGATTGTTACTGGTGACGAGACATGGTGTTTTCAATATGAGCCTCTCACAAAGTGGCAGAGTGCAGTGTGGTTGAGCCCAAAGGAGTCAAAACCAAAGAAAGTGTGCATGCAAAAGAGTTGAGTCAAGACACTGCTAACCGTTTTCTTCGATTCCAAAGGAATCATTCACAAGGAATTTCTGCCAGAAGGTCAAACAGTGAATTCTGATTATTATTGTAACGTGTTTCGTTACTGAAGACGCCGTAGAGATGGTTAATTGGTTTATTTAACAATCTACAAATAACGGCTACAATTACTTATCACACAGTTGCGGGGTTTCACACTTTATAACCCTAATCGCATTAATCTGTTAACACTGTTGCGGGGTTTCACGATTTATAACCCTATG